AAAGTCGTATGGCAAAATATGTGTTTCTGTGACAATATCACCAAAACACATCAATAACATTGCCCTGCCTTCATGCTTGCTGAGGTGACGTGGACACAGGGCGATAGCAATACAGAAATGGAGGGTGTGAGAGGAGGACAATTTACTTTCTTGTTGCTGCTGACAGATGGACCTCTACAGATGGGAAACCTTGACCTCTGAGCATTCAGCCTGGAGGCAGGCGGTGCTTCATGGCCTCTCCCAATTTGCAGAGACCCATGTCCAGCAGGCCAAGGCAAAGAGGCAGTCCTGAAACCAGCAAAATCAGGGAGCTGGACAGGGGATAGATTGTATTTGTCTTCAGTGTGGAAGGGATTGTCACTCTCGAATTGGCCTTCTCAGCCACACTAGACGCTGTTCCAAGTCCTCCATACAGAGTACATGACTATTGTCTCTCGAGACTGAAGGATGCCTAATCTAAATGCTGCTGACTCTCTTCTTTGAGGACCCAATTCTAATCTCCATCCACAAGGCCCTCTTTCCTTCAGCTAAATTTTTGTTCACATTCAGGAGCCCAGTTGAAACATCCTGTTTCGTGTTCTTTCCCCCAAAATCATTTTAGTTACAGAACTTACCCAAACACATGGTAGAAACTACCCCTTGATGCCTCTACAAATGTAAGCAAACATCTAGACTTATTTTACGTACATTTGTTTGACTTTATATTTTATGTCTTTTCATTTCAGGTTGCTTGCCAGAGAGACAGCAATACTGCATTATGAAAGCAATAGTAATGGAACTTGGAATGTAATATGTACTCATTGTTTCTTTAGAGTCTGGGGAAGGAAATGCTACATATCTGTGATTGGGAGTCCCCCAGACCCCCAACATCTTGTCTCCCTTCAACCATGTCACCAATGTTTAGATGGCTTCCAGACTCACTGCTTTTTCTTAGGTGTTAGGAATCTCCATCAATTTTTTATTTTAGCTGGCATACAGATCTGCGGATGTTACAGGACACTTCCCTTCAAATACTGCTTGGATTTCCACCCACAAATATTCATGTTAATAATTAAAGCCTTTGAGAACGAAAGGATGGAAAGATGCTTCTAATTTCTTGAAATGCCTTCCTTTGGTTCCTCACTTGCTGTAGGTCTAAGTGATCATGGACCACCGTGGTGTCTATAGATCACACCTTTGTTAATTAATTCCTTCTCCCTGAGACTTCCCAATTTGGATCCAATGTCTGAAATCCAAGAATAAGCCACAACTGGAGTAGATCTGTTGAATCAATGGAGCATATGGTGGAGCTGACTCACCAAATCCCTACTGATTCAATCACCCTATTCTAGCTGACACTTAGTACTGTACTGGATTTCACCCAGTATCTCCCAATTGTGGCATACAAGGTAGTTGAAGAATGAATCCTTTACACCAGCTAACTCATGACTTGTTCTTAACAAACATCAATACTGAAGCTGCTTTCCCTGCTGCTACAATAGAAAACACAAGGTCAAATGGGAGAAGCTGATAGCATGGGCATCTTAGGGGGGGTACTACTGAGTGGGTGATTTCTCCCAAATGATCCTGGGAATGTCTACTTTACTGGCATCATATTAGAAGTTGCAAGTGGCTCTCAAGGAAGAGAAAGCAGCATTGAAGTAGGCCTTTTGATCAATACTCAGTGGGCAGTACAGGAAAGGACCAGGTCACCCCAGAAGGAAGTGATCAGTAATCAACAGTCCCAGAAATTGAGAAAAAGACCTGATTGTGAGGTTGTACCAGCCTGAATTTCCTTGCCAACGAAGGTTTGTTCATTCATTCTTTCATTTATTTGTTTGTTCATTTATGTATTTCTAAACCACTGATTTAGTGTTCAACACTACCCTAAGTGGTTTATATAAAAACAATAACCCAAACATCGACGAATAACAAAACCAATGTTAAGAACACAAATACAGTAACTAAATAAACTCCAAGTGATGACGGACTATGGGAGCACCTACAGAAATAACTTAGAAGAGGATGCCCTTAAAAGCTTCCCGAATCATTAGAGTCTTAAGCATCCTCTTAAATGATGAGAGAGAGAAGAACTGACCAACTTCCACCAGGAGCCCACTCCGTAATGTGGGAGCCAGAGCTCAGAAGGCATAATTCCTGGTGACTCTCTTCTTAGCCTTTCCTGGCATGGCAACCTGGAGAAGCAAACCCTGTGAAGAGCGGGTGGCATGGGACACCCATTGCCATTATGAAGGAGAGATGTTTCAACAAATACCAAGGCCCCAAACCGTTAAGGTTGTTTCATCTTTACTACTGGTAAATTTTTTAAGGACCCAGGTATTATAAATGTTCTTCACCGTGGTCTACAATGAAATCCACAGGTAGTGAGATCATCCAAATTCAAAACTGCAGAGAAACCTTCTGGACTTCTTATATATAATATCTGAATCCAACATGGGAAAGCCCATAACACCTTTCCCCCCCGAGTGTACACTATCTATCTATCTATCTATCTATCTATCTATCTATCTATCTATCTATCTATCTATCTATCTATCTATCTATCTATCTATCTATCTATCTATCTATCTATCTATCTATCTAATCTCACCTTTCTCCTCAACAAGATTTAAGGCACCTACCAAACTGTTGACAGAGAAAGTGCAAATGAAGAAAGATCCTAACAGTGGAACCCTTAATCTTAACACCCAGACAAGTTCTCTACCACTGCTGAAGTTCGTCCTTCCGAACATTTCCAGGCTCAATCCATTTGCCATAACTCTGAGTGACAAAGGAGACTGACGAGGGGGGCTCAGCACCAGAAAGAGCCCAAGTCTTTTCATATTCCTAATGACACCATATATAACCCAACAGTTCTTAACTAATACCAAACTGAATGTGGGCTTGGTTTCTCTCTCTCTCTCTCTCTCT